TGGCTCTGGTCTACCTCCTGTTGCCATAATTATTTTACTACAATTTCAAATGAATTTGCTGAAACTTGATATGATATACTTGAGATATGTGCCCTAATAATGTAAACCACCAGAATAATTATTAAGTTGTTGTTCAGTTGCATGATAACAACATTGATGATGGGAGGATTTCGTGGTCCTTAAAACTGAAAAATCTACATTTTTTCACAGATAGCTGGAGTGAATCTCCTGTCAAAATTTAGGCTGGTATTAGTTACTTCTCAGCTATAATGTGTGGAAGCAGCCTCTTATCCAGCTGAACCTAAACACAAATAGCTCAAGTTAATGTCCAACTCACAAGCCTAATGTAGGCTGAACCCACACAGGTAGCAGGACTTAAAATAAAATGACCCACTGCAAAAGAACCATTTCACTTCATATTATAAGATAACATCCACCATTTTGATACACACTACGTGTCCTAATGCAGACAGAGTTCAAAATATCAAACATATGGGATTGCTACCATTAATCTGATAATTCATCAGACCATTATGCCTAACTTCTTATGATTATTTGGATTATTAAAATACATCCCTAATTCATGCATTTTATATAAAATGATCATTTCTGTTTGTTCATACCCAGTACACAATAAGTAGCTTTTATGCAGTCGTCTTTTCATTTTTCATATTGTATAAATTCCTGGAAAAAAGGCTCCAAAAAAAGAGCTGGAAGTTAAAGTACTTATTTTGCAGCACAATGCCCGTCTTCATGTGGCCAGAGTGTGTAGGCAGTTCATGGATGATGAAGACATTGATGCCATTGACTGGCCCTCTCGTTCCCCTGACCTAAATCCAAGTGAGCACCTATGGGACATTATGTATCGGTGCATCCGATGCGGCCAAGTAACACCACAGACTGTGCAGGAGCTCACAGATGCCCTGATCCAGGTCTGGGAGGAGATCCCCCAGGACACCATCCGTCCAACTCATCAGGAGCATGCCCAGACGTTGTCAGGAGTGCATACAGGCACGTGGGGGCCATACACTCTACTGAGTAACATTATGAGTTGGATCACCCTGTGATATCAGTTTTTATCTTTGATCTTCAGTGTGGTTTGAATCTAACCCTCAATGGGTTGATGACTTTGGTTTCCATTGACCGTTGTTACATCATTTTGTTCTCAACAAATTATAGAATGAACATCAGTCAACATTTTCAACTTGAATAGGTTGCTCATCCAGATCTGATGTGTGATTTAAGTCTTCCCTTCATTTTTTGAGCAGTTGTACAACATAACATAATTTTTTATGTCCACATCATGATCATCAGGAAAATGTTTTCATATATAAATTAATTATAGCTCCCTGACCCACTGTCTTTCCCAGAGTTCAGTCTTTGAGCTACATGAATGTCAGAGGCTTTAAAAGAGGAGTTTGTTGAGGGACCCCAGCCACACTTTTGATGCATTGGCCAGTGACACATTTGATTGTAGTTAGTGACTTAAAATAAAACTAATAATACCACGAAGTAGAATTCACCCAATCTGAAAATCTTACTTAAAGAAAAATGTAATAATATTCAATCTGATAATCCGATGTGAATTAAGTATTGATACTGTTCCTGATGACTTGATTCTATGAGTTGAATTATTGTCAATTAACAGATTGTTTCTTCTCTAATTGTATATACTGATAGTGTTGTCTGTGACAAAGCTCCTCTAATGACTTTTATATAAAGTTGAAAGTGTTATTGGAAATATGCAAGTTAACACAGGGTCAACAGTACAACGAAAGGTCAGGAAGGACAAGAAGCTAGGTAGAAAATGCTGACTGTAAAAAAAGTCAGACACAATACAATACTAAAAGGACATGCATTCAAAGGTGCAGTGTGACATTCGATGCATATGTAGTGACAAGTTTAACCAGGAGCTAAACTATGGCTGTCTGATAATCAAAGTACAGTATAAGTAAAGTATGAGCACGAGAGGATAACACTGATGTAAAAAAAGTATCTTATATTTGAACTTTACAGTAGTATTCTGCTAAATGCACTTATTTACATTACAAACAGTAATCTCTCTTGTAGTCTTCTCGGCAGGAAACGGATACAAAATAATTGCAATGGCAGTGCTACGGAAGATGACAACAAACGGTATTTTATAAACGATAGAATAAAAAAAAAACGTGTAACTCCTGTGTTTTATTGTGAAAGGTTTAACCGGACGTCGGGCTGTGTATGTGTCAGTTTGCCGCCAGCTTGCCATCGGTGTCCTGGCGGTGTCCACAGTGGAAACCCAGGTAAACGCTCTGCCTCCTCCATCAGCACATCTCACCCACTGGTGCTGGACCGCGCTGATTCGACCTCAGTGCTGTGTGTGTGCGTGTGAGACCTCTTCACTCTCAGTCCTTAGCTTCCTGTTTCCTCTCGCACATTTCTCAAAGTTTACTTCCAGTGTTAGCCGATGGGGGCTAGCCAGCAGCTAGCGTAGCGGTTAGCACAGGATTAGCCCTGCTAACAATAGCGAACCAGTTCCACGGCTAATAACAGTGGCTTCAGCCGCCGGGCTCTTTGCTGTCCGCGCTGTGTCTGAGTGGATACACTGACACCGCAGGTGGTTGCGTTCGTTTGTTGAGGGGGACACATGCAGAAGTGCGTGCTGTGCGTTTAGCCCCAGAGCTAACACGACCCGAGTCGAAGGCACGTCATACCAGACTCCATTAACAGCTTGGAACAGTTAAGATTACCTTGTTCGTCTGCAAAACCACTTTGCTGCTATCATTTTAGTACATGGACATTGAACTGTAAGACGAGACATGCTTGGATTCGGCTCACGTAGCATACTTGAGTTTCTGTGAATTTTCCCACTTTGTGAAGTTCTACAGACGCAGCCAGCGGTGGTAGTACCGGGGCTTCCGAACGCTCGATGTTAAGTAACACGGCCCGGTGTGTGTCTCTGCTCAGTGGGACACATGTCAGGAGACAGCTGCTTCTTGTTCTCTAAAGGACACGGAGGGAGAAAAACGAGGGAACCACACGTAGTAATGCAGCGAACTGCGCGTTCTGCGCACCCGTCTGCACCATGTGGGTCAGTAAGCTATGCAGCGAACTAACGAGGTTCGCTCGAATATTAGACGACTAATCGCATCTGTTCAGAATCCATTCCGACAACTTCTCTTGACTGGAACTGTGGTCTCACACTCATCTATTGTTCAGTAGGCTGCTGTCATCCAGCGTCGATATATAAACAGTGTTCCTTTAGGTTAGCTTGACGTTGATTAGCCTGCAAGACTGTCCCTGGCTGTTGCTACTCACCTGTCGTGTGTGCCAGTCCACCGGCTCAACAACATGTAGCTCAGCGCTCTTCAACCAGTTGGAGTAATTGTGCATGAATGTTAGTGTGAGGCTAAAGCTAACCTGTTGTCGTGGAGAGGGAAGGCCCCAGACAGCTGACAGGGTGAGGTAGTGGGGATCGTTTGGATTGTGTGTTGTTACCGCGCATTGTGTAACTACAGTCAGAGGGTCACTCACATAGTTGAAGTGTGTGTGAATGGACACGAGTAGACTTGCTCTGTGCTGCGCTGACATGCTTCATTCCGGCAGCATGTTCAGGGCTGCTGCTGCTGCCGCTCTCCACACGTGGCTGACTTTCGCTGTCTGCTGATGAATTGGTGTTCTTGCTTATCTAGTGGATGGCCAGGCTGAGATTTTCTTACAATTCTGGTTTTCTGTGAATGTGCAGGTTGTGATCAAGACAAATGGAGACAACAGGAGTTTGTGACATTGATTTGGCGTCCAGGAGAATAGTGGGAGGCAGTGATTCTCCTACAGACCTGGACAGCTCTTGTCAGGTAAACACTATCACTAAGTATTGTAAGGTGTGATGTTCTGTTTTTTTTGTCCTACTACAACTGTGTTACTGTCAGCCTTCCGGTTTTAATGTCTCCCAAGTGTCTTGTAAATAACAAGAGATTAGCTGGAACAGTGTTTTACGAATAGCAGGATTACAATTTTTGTGCCAATAACAAAGTGATACTTTTCCCCCAAATCCTTTTGGCTGAACCACAGCATCAGGAGCAGCACTACAAACATAACTGTCTACGTCTGCCTCACTGAAGATGTTTTCAGACATGACCTCTGGAGGAACATAGAGGGAGATTCTCTGCTCAGACGTGTTCACAAGAGCATCAACATCGGCTTCTGCTGACTTGATACGGGGGGNGGGGGGGCAGGCAGATAAAGTCCACAGAAACGTCAAAGGCTCTCACTTGGACATTTGCTTTCACACCTACAGTCCCTGCAGAGAAAAGTTCAGTGCATGTCTGAAAGCAGCTTGAGAGACTGTAAAGGAGTCCTCCGTGGTCAGCTGTTTTGCGTTGGACTTTTCTCACTGGCTGTTGCTCTGTCAAAAATGATTTTATATCAGCAGTCAGTATTATGCCTAAGGAGTGCAACTACTTTCTGTTGGACACAGTGAATGTCTGAGCTCTAGTGACAGGTGTTTGCAGAGTTCTTCCTGCCTGCTGACATCTTGATGCCTGTCACATTAACACCTACAGCAGACAGAAATCAGAAAACCTGTCAACAATCTGAATGTCTTTAATATATCTTTTAGGATCCATAGCGACAATACATTTTTGAAATATTGTGCAGCCCTAAAAATGTCAGGAACATAAACATCTTAGTGCTCTGTGGCGTCACCTCACAGACAGATGGAGCCAGTCGTCCATGCATGGATATTCACCTGTTTGAAGCCTCAAATGTTGGAAAACTGAGGGAGGGTAAGAACTTATACCTGGTGTGTGTGTGTGTGTGTGTTTTAACAGGAAGAGGTTGCAGGGTTTGATTTGGGGTTGTGCTGTGCTGAGGAGGAGAGAGGGGAAACTCCAGGCAGAGAGGATAGTCCCAGTGATCTGGGGGAGGCTGAGCTTGATCCCGGAGGAGACCCCAAGAGTGGAGAGGACAAGGCCTTTGGTACGAACACTCCCCTCATTACATGCTGTATGTGTGATGGCACATTTTTTTAATGTCTTTGATGTCCAAGTCATATCCCTGTTAAATGTATTGTAAATGTATCGTGTACCTGTCATTACCCAAACAGACGAAGCCCACACTGTATGTGAAAAGTGTTGCACAGCAGAGATGGGTCCAGTTATACTGGATAGGCAGGGCTCTGGGGCTTTCTGTGTCTTTCTGTAAACACATCCTATGTACTGACTGTGTATATCAGCAGCTTTAGTTTTCCAAGACAAAGATTAAAACGTCATTCCAAAATAATTTATGTACATTCAATGAAGACATCATTTTCTTTATTCAGCAACTCACATCTTAATCAATTCAACATTGCTTATACAGTAGTTGTCTGATATCCTCCATCTTTGTTCTGTTTGAGTCATAAATAGGTGACCAGAAACTACCTTTTGTCTATGATAATGCTTCGGTTTCAGGTTTTCCAAATTACTTATCTGTTGCTTTTTACAAAGCTTGTCAGGAAATTCGATTATTATAGTTTTGCTCAATATTGGCTTTGCAAGGTTTTTTGTCGAATGTGGAGCATTTCAATGTAGTTATCCACAAAAGACAGCAGTATGTCTTACACTATTGTGTGAGCTTTGACGTCATACTAGGGGTGGGCGATATATCCAATATACTCGATGTATCGCCGCTTGCTCCACATGCGATGTATGAAATGACTATATCGCGAGCATCGAGCATAAATTGTCACGTGATTGTTTCAAGCCGTCAGCATGAAATTCTCTCTGAGTTTCCCTTCTCTGGCTCTCTCTCTTCTCCCCCCTCACAGCAGACTGCTCACTCCCCCGCCCATCCAGAAAACTCTCCTGCCTGCATGCAGATTTTAGTATCAGGAGTAGGGAGAGACTCAGAGAGCATTGAGAGAGAGAAAGAAAGAGACGAGCACCAGCGAGTAGACGAGTGTTCAGAGACGGTTATTGACAGTTTGTTCATATTCTTTTTGAACCCTGGACCGAGCAAATCAGTTTACAAATGATAAATGTGAGAGTAAACGTCCCCACTCACTCCGCTTCACAGTGAGGCACCTGAAGTGAGTTTGTTGAAGAACAGTAGAAACAACATTCACGGACCATCGGAAATGCTAACACCCACTAGCTTCACCACTTCCTGTGGACTTTTATGAATTAGACATTTGTACAGTGATTTAGAGGAGATTTCAAAATATCAAGAGATATATATCATGTATTGCAATATAGCCTAACAATATTGCAATATTTGTTTTAGGCCATATCGCCCAACCCTACGTCATACTGTTTTTGGTGTAGACATAACATCTGAGCCAGACAGGGATGTTGGTTTCTTCTTAAGACAATACTGTAGATTGACGGAAATGTTAGAGGCATCATTGTCCATTAATACAAATTAGCAAAGTGATTCTGTATTGCTGACTACAAGACAGACACCTGTCCACCTATTCATATATGACAGTGTCACCACTTTAGCCTCAGGTTGTAGATTCTTAGGTTGTTGTATTCTCATTGAAAATCTACTTGAAAGAATTCTCCTGAATATTTTCTGTTGTGGTTTATGTTCCAGGGAAGGAGGTCACTCTGTTGATGCAGGCTCTGAATTCTCTGGCCACTCCTGAAGAGAAACTGGCTGCTTTGTGCAAGAAATATGCCGACCTGGTGAGCATCTGATTTAAAAAAAAAAAAACATGAAGCTGATCATCTTCTCTGCATTTGGATGCATAATTGCTCAAAATACTGCAAACGAAGAACAGTCATGGTGAAAAGTTCCGGGATTTTCAACAAAAGTTAATGCACCAATGTCAAAGTGTTACTGATATTACTGTTAGCAACGCTTAACATCTGCCACTGGTAGTCGAGGCTGATTTGGTTTTGCTTCTTCTGGAAAAGGGTCATGAACTATGAAGGTGATCAATCAGGGAAGCGTATGTCCTGACCGATGAGCTAAAACACAGCTCTGTAGATTTTAACTCAAAATCGGGCCAGCAACATTCAAAAGTCTGTTTTAGGGGCTGGAAAACTCACAAGTAGTGCGGATGCCAGATGTAAAGAAAAGTGATTTCTTAAAACTGAAAAGTATTTGTATATCTGCAGGTTCAGACTGCAGTCAACTGTTATTTTTTGATAAAAAGAATATATAAAAAAATAGAAAAAGGCAGTAAGTAAGTCAGAAATGATTTCACAACTGGTCTATGACAGGAGTCAACTACATATCTTTTATGTTGTTCACCTGGACACAGTCCAGACAAATACTAGGTTGTTACCTCGTCTTGTGAAAACACAACGCAAACCTTGTCCAGATGTCTACTTTTTCATCAAGTCAGTTTCATTAAGATTTGTTTTGGAGCATGGGAAGGATATCAGGCTTTAATTGTTACCCCTTTTGTAATTGCAAATGCAACATGTACAATCTAAAGACTGGAATTTCCCAAATTAATGTTGCGTGGATGTCATTTTCTGTGTGTGTGTTCAGCTGGAGGAGAGCCGTTGCATGCAGAAGCGACTGAAAGCTCTGCAGAAGAAGCAGTCTCAGATTGTGAAGGAGAAGATCCACCTGCAAGGGGAGCACAGCAAGGCCATCCTGGCCCGCAGCAAGCTGGAGAGTTTGTGCAGGGAGCTGCAGAGACACAACAAAACTCTGAAGGTACAACTCAACCCATAGCAACCGCACTCCTCTGTGTCATTCCTATGTTTTCATCTTGTCTCGACAAACAGCATTATCGCTTGAGCATCAGGAAGTTGAACATATGTTTATTCAAACTGCATTCAAATAGTAGTTTACTGTCAATATAATGGATAAAACACAGTGTTTGTTTCAATGAAAAGGATACTATTTTATTTCTTGGCACTGTCAACTCTCTTGGACAAATTAGCCCTCGGATTTTGATAATTATTTTTTTTAATTTACCCCTGTGTTTCACTCTTCTCCCCTCAACGTCCACACGTGTCATCTGATAGGAGGAGAATGCTCAGCGGTCCAGGGAGTACGAGGAGCAGCGGAAGGAGGCCATGCTACACTTCCAGATGACCTTGAGCGACATTGAGGTGCAGATGGAGCAGCACAGCTCCCACAACACCAAGCTGAGGCAGGAGAACATGGAGCTGGCAGAGAAGCTGAAAAAGCTCATCGAGCAGTATGAGCTCAGAGAGGAGGTAAGATGTCACAAAAGAGCTTTTCCTTACACTGTTGCACAACTGTAGTCTGTTGCCATTGTGGCTATGGCATCAAGTACAAACCTGTGCAGTCATACTTCATCATTTGAGGTATCAACAAATGTCTCATTGTGGTATCGATAACTGGCATATGTGTAGAGTATCACCCCTGTGACAGAACAACCCTAACTAAACAGGTAGGTTACATTTGTCAGTTCAGAATTCAGGTTTAAATCAACTGGTAGAAAATATTTGGAGTCACTGTTCATTAAAAATGTACAGCAGTTTAAAAACATTCAGGATAATGATTCTTTTATCGCATGTTGCATAGTCTAATGGAGATGTGATTGTGTCCTTCTTGCAGCATATAGACAAGGTGTTCAAGCACAAGGAGCTGCAGCAGCAGCTGATGGACGCCAAGCTGCAGACAATCACAGAGATGATGAAGGAAGTGGAAGAGAAGCAGCAGAGAGAGCGGGACTTTGTAAGTACTGTATTCATTATATCAGCTGTAATGAGCACAATAAATTCACGTTTGTACTCAAACAGGGTTCCTGCGGCTCCTTAAAAAGTTATACATCGATATCAACAAAATCTTAAATTGACCATAAATAAAGTCTTAAATTTACAGGCAGAGCTTTTAAGGCTAATGGGAAAATTTGAATGCACAGTGTCCTACCATTAAAAACTTTAGTCCAGAGACTCCGACAGTTTTGTGTTTCTAATCGCAAAACACAGATGGGTGTTGATTTCTAATAAACAAACAATAATAGCATAATAGTAACAATAACAAGAATGGTAATAACAATGATAATTGTAAATGAGCAGGATATTAACTACAAAAAGAACATAACATATACATGTGTGTATAAAGTACATTTATTTTTAAAATAATGCTTGCAATGTCACTATAATGGCGATTTGTCCTGAAACTTGTCCTGCAAAATAATAAAATAACACGAACAATATGACTGTTGTAGTACTATTTTTTATTAATATTGTTGTATACGCAACATAAATGCTTAATCTAACTAGTTATATCAAACAGCACTAAAACAAACAGTTACCGTCACTCAATTTTATTATTCTGATATCTTACTAAGATTATAAATATGTTTAAATAAATTCTCTTCTATCAAAGACGGTGTTTCAAACTTTTTTGAAACACCTTCTTCAATTTGACTTTTAAAAATGGTGCAAGAAGCCTGTCCAAGTGTGTGTGCAGCCTGTGAGAGCATTACAACTGAATGTGCTTTTATGTTTCAGCTGCTGAAGGATGCCACTGAGTCCAGACGCAAGTGTGAGTTAATGAAGGAGCAGGAAACACAACTCAAACAACAGGTGAGCATGCACACACACACACACACACACACACACACACACACACACACACACACACACACACACACACACACACACACACACACACAGACACAGACACTTGCTTGGTGGATCAGAAACACAGTCACGGCATCGACACTGTATTTCTCTGGTAACATAAACGCTTGGTGTCCGGGGGTTGTGATTGGTCCATGTACTTTCCAGGCAAAATGTAGAGATTGTGACATTTAATGACGTTTGCACTTTGTCTACTCTAATAGCATAGATCCAGGCTATGTTTACAAACCAACAAAATGCTGTCGGGCAGATGCCCACTACTGCTCGTGTTTACGTTTGTGCACATCAGTTCTCACAGTTCTCGTCTTGTCCCTCTTAGCTCTCCTTGTACATGGACAAGTTCGAGGAGTTTCAGAGCACTCTGGCTAAAAGCAATGAGGTCTTCACCACTTTTAGACAAGAGATGGAAAAGGTAAGAATTGATAACCTGTTAGTGACAGACTGACTTCCTGTTGTTTGCCTTCATCAGTCATGAATAAGTGTGTTTTAATCTCCAGATGACAAAGAAGATCAAGAAACTGGAGAAGGAGACGACCCAGTGGAAGACCAAATGGGAGAGTAACAACCAGGCCCTTCTGCAGATGGCTGAGGAGGTGACTTTTAAACACACTGTCTTTTCTTTCAGAGGGTGATGTGTAAAGCGGAATCAGTGTCCATGTTTGTGGGTGTTAAATACTGATGTGAGATCAAGGAATGCATAGTCAAGCTTAGCACACAGACTGGAATCAAACAGCCAGTGTTCCTTCCCTGGACTTCTCATCTAACTGTGGTTTACCAAATAGCTGCTAAACTGTTTACAGTGTTTAGTACATTTTAGCATGATAGCAGGCTAAATATGCTCAGTATTACCTGTTAAAGGATAGTTTACCCAAAAATGAAATTGAATACATTATCTACTCACGTGACATGTTTGAGTCCACAAAACACTTGGAGTGTCAGGGGTAAACAGCTTTGCAGCCAAATTCAAACAATTAAGATAATTGATGATTGATATTTCAAATGTAAAATTTAAATTTTTCAGTGAACTAGCCCTTTTTTACTCTTAAGCAGGGGACAGTGAATTAATGGACTCTGCAACTTTAAGAAATTGCTTTTTACTCATTTGAAATGATTAAAAAAGGTATCCAAATCTAAACGGCCAAATTAATCACTTTGCTTTAAAGTGGTTCAATATCCTTTTTTTAATAAAAAATAACCAAAGAATAGGAAAGTGTTCCTCTGTGACTTTTTGGACAGGGACAGGGGAAGTCCATCTAATATCGCTGTGGAGGGCTGGAGTGGATGAACCCAGTGGTCAACACGACACCTGGCATTCTATTGGTTGGGGAATTTTGTGCAAGGGCAGGGTTTGATGAAAAGTAATACACAATCTGAACATAAATTCAACAAGTCCTGCACTCGAACTGAAAGACCATGTGCTTGAATGGAGATAGGAAAAAAGCTCCATAAGCATACACATGCTGTCAGCGCCAGGAAAACTCCAAAGGGAATAAACAATCCACCCCATGATTTCCTCCCAACTCCAACTTTAGAGACTAGGCTTCTTCTTCTTGTAAAGGTAAAACAGACGAACCTCTCCGACCTCCACACTCTGAGGCTACTAGTCACTTCTCTGTGTTCGTTCAGATCACGCAGGGTTGTGGTCCCGGGGTTGTGATTGGATTGGAGGGTGAATGGTTTGGGATCATTAGAGCCCTAGTTGCAACCAGAGTTAAGTGTAATGTTAAGTAGACATGTGTGTTGATGTTTATGTCACCTCTTAGCAAGGCAACTATTTCAGTACAGAGCTCAGGCACTGAGATGAGGCACCGAAATCTGCGTTGTGATTCGGTCCGGTTGCTACAGGCTGTGTGGGGACCAGTGCCTGGTTGGAACACTAGATATCAGCACCTGATCCCTGTGGTCAGTGTTAATATTGTGTTTGTGGCCACAAATAAATCAGGGGGTGAGAAACTGAGAAGTATAAAAATGCTTTGGTTCTTTGTGAAAATGTAGCGGATCAAAGCAAGTCAGTTGAGTAGGTGGTCCTTCATACGCGGCCCGGGAAACAGCCACGTGTCTCAGACCACCTCTGAATGTGGACTGATGTGAGTTTGATTTCAAATGTGTCCTCTATGTGGCTTGGCTGTGTTCAGACCTGAACTTGCGATCAGATCATTCCAGACAGACGTTAGTGTAGCTGAGACTGATGGACTGAATGGTAAAACCTCTCTCCTTCGGTATGTGTGGTCATGGTGGTTAACAAAGCTCGGGGATGTGGGCAGATGTTTCGCCAGAGTTTTTATGAGTCTTTTATTACAGTTTGTCTTTTTCTCTCGAAAAGGGGATTCTGTTTGATTTCATTAAATTCCGTGTGTCCTTTCATATGAAACAATTTGACAGGATAATTGTTAGGTCAAGGTAAACGTTCTTATCCCAGAGGGGCAGTTTGTGTTACAGCCAGCAGAGAATACAAGAAAGTAACACAAGAATAAACACAATGCAGTTGTTACTCAAAGTGCTTTACAGTACAGTTTGCCATTCACCCATTCATACAGTGCATCTATTAGCAGCACTCCTTTTGTTCTATGAGGGGCATTTCAGGGTTCAGCATCTTGCCCAAGGACACTTCGGCATGCAGATGGGGAAGCCTAGGATGGAACTGCTGACCTTCTGGTTGGAGGACGACCGCTCTACCCCTCATCCACAGCCGCCCACAATAACAATCCACTTACTTTTTTCATAGCTCTAGTTTCTCATGCACAAGACCAAGAGATGTGGTTCTGATTTAACAATTTCTCATTCTATACTTTCCTCCAAACGCCCTGTCCAGTGTGAGAAAAATGACGCTAATGAAACTTTGTGTTTTGCTGTAGAAAACTCTGCGTGACGGCCACTTCAAGGCCCTGCAGGGGAAGCTGGAGCTGCTGGAGAGGCTGTGCCGAGCTCTGCAGAAGGAGAGGAACGATCTGAACAATCGGCTCAGCCTCCTGCAGGAGCAGGAAGACAAAGGGACCACAGCACCTACTGAAGACCAGCGACAGGAGCCTTCAGAGGAGGAGCAGGGGGAGGAGGAAGGGGATAAGGAGGAAGGGGATAAGGAGGAAGATGATAAGGAAGAAGGGGATAAGGAGGAAGATGAAAAGGAGGAAGGGGATAAGGAGGAAGAGAATGTGGAGGTGGGCTCGACACAGGGCGTCAGACAGGAGGCAGAGGGCATTCACCAAGATCCCAGTCTACCTGGACTTGACTCCTCTCCGGCTGCTGCTGACAAAACCACTACTGCTACAACAAGCAGCCCTCCTGCAGACACACATAACTGAGCAAACCTACATGGTGTGTGTGAGTATAGATGAGAAGGTGCGATAGTAGGGCTCCACACGCCTCCAGCCTAGTTCCAGAACTAGCCAGACAAACCATCTTCAATGGAGATATAGATTTCCTGTTTTTTAAGTCTACACTTGCCTCTGCAGGTTTCTACACAGAAACTGAGCCTATATCTTTTTGTGTAATCGTTTAAGAAGAATAAAGTGACTATCAAAGATTCTATTGTAAGAGTTAGCCCACGTTTAGGTTGGTTGTAATAATTGGCTTTGTGGAGAGCACTTTGTACTCCATTTTCTACCATACGTGTATTTTCATAAGAAATTTCCATGCAGTCTAACTGAAGCAGTTCAAAGTCTTTAATTTCGTTCGTCAAACGGTCCATCCCTGTGGTGTCACGTCTCATCGGAAGTTCTCCAGTGATTCAGTCAGAATCACATGCTTTTCTTCACAGGTTAGTGTGTTAATGAAGCTCACAGTGAGAATGTGATCTGAGGAGGACGTAGTGTAGAGCAAGTACAAAGACTGAGTTGGCTTCTTTTTTTTTTTTTGTGTGTGTGGATAAGTTGGTCTTTTGGAGCCAAAAGTATCTTAGCAAAATGAATCTGTAAATCCATATAAAATGGCTACCTTGACCCACCTGTTTGTTAATAACTAGTTAGCAAGCTCCCATCACCACCAGGACCATCACGTTTCTGTTTAATAATGAAGTCTGAAAGCAAAATTCTGAAGTGAACAAGTGGAACAAGCTGCACAGTGTCGCTCTGACCTACACACCCTGTCATTATACCAGGCTAATGTTGCTGATGATTAGAAGGTTCTGCACATATCTCTTAGAGGAAAGTGATTTCATTGAACTCTGTTGTTGGTGTCAGAAGAGATAAGTGGAAACAGTGGTATTATCCCCCTGCAGCTGACGATTACTAAAGGTAAATGACAGTATGTCACCAGAGTCTCAGGATAGTTAATGTAACTTGACTGGGCAGCTTCCAGTCAAAATCCTTATGAGTCATTTGTATCACATCCCTTTTTGTTGCTAGTTGTGGTTGGGGTTTTTCCCAGCAACAACACAATGTGGTTTGCTCAGTATGAGAATAAAGTCATAGAATAACTCCAATAACAGTGTAAAATGTTAGGATCAGATGTGCTGCATTAGATAACAATGCACCATATATATTTCTGTTGTTTAAGCAAAAACCAAGAAAATGTTGATTTCTTCAGTTTTCCTCATTAAACTCCTCCTGTCGCCAAAGGGCTTCATTTTTTTTTTACAGAGGCATCAACAAGTTGAGAACGCCCTGCTAGACAAGACATTTGAACAGGTCGTCCAGTTCAAAATGTCACCGCTTTGTTTGAATTTAAATGAGAAGTAATGGCTCAGGCCATCATATCAACTAGACTCACTTAAACCCATGTTTCTCACTAGATTTAAATCAGCATCTCCACAATCCCCTTTCTTTTGAAATGAGCCCTGATTTCGATATGATCCATCATGCAGGGTGCGCAGAGAAGAGCTGAGTCGGGAGTGAAACGGCTTCATCCACTGGCTAATAACTTCCTGTAAATGTGTGAAAACTTAAATTGTGTTGATACATCAGAATAGAGGGCCTTACCAACTTTGAAGCCTGAAAGTGGAAGAAAACCAAATGATTTGGTTTGAATACAAAAATGTTGTGATTCATTTTAACTAATAGAAGCTGCCAATACTGTGTGAGCGGAGTCCTGACGTGTAGGAAATGGGTCATTGGCAGGATGTATGATCTCTGTGGTTTTGAAACAAAAAGAATTCACACTTCATTCTATTCTCCTTCGCTCAGTTTGGGTCTACACTGCCTCATTGCAGCTGGTGTTCCAGCTCTGATAACTTAAAAAACATAATTCCCGATGCACAGCGTATCGCTCGGCCCTAAGAAAAGTTGAATTACTTATTTGGAATCCCGGTTTGTATAAATCAGTAAATAAGAGAAACTAAAAAGTGCAACGATTTGTCACTTGTCTTTTCTGAAATCTGCATCAGTCTGAGTAATGTCAGTGAGTCAGGTAGGGTTGTTTCAAACAGTTTTCCTTTAATATGTACTCGAACAGTTGGCCTGTTAACATGTCAACGAAATGTTCTTGAAGACGTTGCCTTGCCGTGCAGCTGACTTTCTTACTGAAGTTCTCCTCATGCATTTACCTTCACATTGTGTGGAGATGTGAACTCAAAGGTGTGCGTACTCCTCTGGTATTAAGTGGTGGACAGTTGTCATCACACCCCTGAGCAGCATGTTTCCTCTTTGCCCAGACTGACACTCAGGTAATGTCAGAATCTACCTCTGTAGAAATTGTGAAAGAAGAGGCACGAGTCACCACAGCTTCAGAAGGCTTTATTTTTACTGAAAAAGCCCACACCCTCTCTTTGATTGTACAATGTTCTTATATTCCTGTCTTTCTTTTCAATAAACATTTTGTAGAATTTGCACTTGATCTTTACAATGGATTTATTTCCTCTAACTAATGAGTCATTTTCTCAGAGGAGAGGAGTGAAGATTGTTCTGCCTCAGTCAAATTGGAGCCGAGGAGAACTGTAAATTTGACATTAATGAGAAACTTAGTTTTAAAAAGTTACAAAAGTATTCTTGTGATTTCAGGTTCAGGACACAGGGTGATTTATCATGTAACAAGAGAAGAGGAAAGAAAGGTGCACTTGTCAAGTCCCACACCTTTCACTTGAGTCACCCACTGAGCAATGTATGATCCTAGAGGAGAAAAACAACAGGGAATGTTCACAAGACAGTGATGTGTCCGCTAAATGCAAGGAAAATAACAGCCAACAATACTCAGGTGAAACACTAAGGTCTGAAACTAAGAAAAGCTGCTAAACACTCAGAGTTCAAAGGGATGTAAGTCAGGTACTCTTCTGTTGTGCAACTTCTACTACATATTTATATCCAGGGAGTCTGTTTAGTGGTTTCCTAGATATTCATGAGTCCAAATGTAAAATGACACTTTTCTTTGCATGAGCCCTCCTGACATGAACAGATTAACAGCTCTCAATGACTGGCACATGTTTTATGATCAAAGCACCGTCACCACAAAAATCCCCAGACACAGCGATGGTACAGAAATGGTCGAGTGTCGGCCTGGTCTGAGTGCTTACATGCTTCCGAGTACCTGAGCCATGGTGCACAGTAAAGAAGGCAGACTGAATCCATCTGTCTGTTAACAAGTCCACAATGTCTCTGACTCCACACTGTCCATTCCTGTGGAGAGCAGATGTTTTAATGTTGCACTTGAGTGAAGTAGAGAAGAGAGCATTAGGTGGGGCCGGGTTTTGGAGGAGGGGTCGTGCCGCGAGAGAGATGTGGTGCAGCACTGGGTTATGATCCCTGAGCCTCCAGCTCTGATGCAGGGGTGTTGTCTGGTTCCTCATCATTGTAGATGTTCTCTGCCTGGAAAATGGAAATATAAAATCACTTTTGAGTGGTCATCAAGACTAGAAAAGCTCTATATAATTACAGGCCATTAAAAACATGAATAATCTGGCTCACAGTTATGGTTCTGCAACAACACTTGGTGGATGAGTTTCTGTCCACACAATCCTATCACACTTGTAATGTCCGAGAAAATGGTTTCTCAAGCTGCAGACAAAAACAAGTCGAAAGTTCTAACTAGTCCAATTCATTCAGACCCAGCTGCTGATTGATGAATTCAGTGTAATGTACTAAAAAGCTATCATGAATGAAACTAAACACATTGAAAGTCTTGCAGCCTCCTGGCTCCTCCTCATTGTATTTGTCCTCTGCCTGGGCAAGCTTTTTTAGGTGAAAACATGTGTTGGGGACGAAATCTCATAATGAGACAATGTGTGTGAGGCTTATGTGAGAGCAGCTGCACTCACCATCTGCCAGACTTGCATGATGTTGTCCTCAGACACAGAGCAGATAACCCAGGGTTCATTGGGGTTCCAGGAGAAGTCTGAGATCTTGGCGGTGTGGCCTCCGTGGATGAACTGGTGGAAGAAAGATGGAAAAGACAGGCGTGTTAATAACTAGAGGTGAAGTGGTGAACTGGAGAGTGTCACCACAGACATGTTCAAACTCCACTAACATGAAAGCTCAGCGCTTTGAAACAAACTAATAACATCTGTGGAGCCAGTCAACCTCATTCAATTTTGAATGTGTTAATTCAGTGATGTGACGTTCTATTACTGTGCAGCAGCAGCCTGAAAAACCTGATCAACACATAATCACATTGCCTGCACCATGTTTTTGTGTAAGAGAACACTGTAAGAACAAGGACCTGATGATGAGTGAGATGTGAAGGGAGTTTCAATGAAATCCCAGCTATTGCTTGTTTAGACATCACTTACCAGCAGTTCTGGTGGCCCATCCTCTGCATCTTCTGCCGACTGCTCCTCCCCAATTTTACTAGAGAAACAACAGACATTAACTCTTCAATCAACTCTTAGTGCCAAGATGTACACACACACACACGCACGCGCACACACGTGTGGATATAAAGCACGTTCAGAGGTTTTTACCTGAGATCCCAGACGTTGAGACGCCGGTCGGTGCCACTGGAGGCCAAGATGGTCTCATTGTGAGGAGACCATTGTACCTTATGAGTGGGACAGTCAAATGACAGCAGGTTAACATAATGCTCAGCAGCAAATAGCTCCCTATACTTAGGGGGGGAAAACACAACAATAACAATGGTGTTAATTTTGTCAGCTATTTAAAAATTTCATATAAAGTGTTTTTATCTCAAACTCACACTAAAAAAGAAAGAAAAACTTGACCAACAATCTGGAAAGATGCAGTAACATTCACAAAAGCAATGAAACTTAACATTTAAATTGTTAGTCGTGAAGAGGAAAAAGACCCTTCCACTGAAATCACATTAAGGATATGGTACTAAAGCAGACTGAACACAAATGTCTCAATACACCTCCTAGATGAATTTTTACTCTCTGAGAGCCTTGTTTCATTTTCTATTTAGTCAAATTAGATTCAAAAATGACAATGATGTCATAGTGCTTTGGTTTTACTTCGGCATTGCTTCTAAGGGTAAATGATAAGAGCTATTTATGAAGACAAGTTTTTTTCCTTTTTCCCGTATTTTGTTCAAGAAACTGTTGAAAACAAGAGACTGTGATAAGTCACATAAATAAATATATTGCTTTAATGCTTTTATTATCCATCATTGCTTTGAACCAACAACATCTTGAATAGTGAGGCAGGCCACACATCTGGAAAAGGTGTTTTGGATAAGACTCACAACACCAGCACCTAATGCAAGTCATATGGCTCGTTCAGACTTAACATTATGATACTTATTTTGTCTCTACGTGGGAGATTTGTTCAAGAAACAACAGTCCCCTAAAACCCACAGCACTCGCTGTTAAGACAGGCAGCTACAGTAAAAGCTGCCGTTGGCAAGGTTTGCGGGAGCTCTCTTCAGTCAATGACCACTGAGCAGTTTACACGCTTTCTGGTGATTATGTTTTCTGCCATAAAGAAATCAAATTTCATTGTGGATTATAAAATATGCTGCATAGCTATGTGTAATGAGTATATGATCGTGTCATTATTTAATTTTTTTATGTAAATATTAGCACAAGACACTTAACCCTTAGCCTCTTAGCTAAACATGTATCTAAGCCAATCAGCCAAGTGTTGCATTAGAGCAGCCTCAATAACACTCATGTTTTGGGTCCAAGCACTATCATGGACAGATTTATATTATGACTGGCTGGCCCCAGGTCATTGGTTATATCAGACCCTGCCTGAGACAGGAACAATGGTTCACGTTTTAGAATGGTCATCACCAGCGGCGGCTGGTCAATAGAGGGGGCTAGGGCGCCGCCCTCCCTTGTGGGAGGGAGTGTTTTGTCTTCATAGTGTTTGTTAATAGCACTGTGTATGTTTCAGGAATGTGTTCCTAGTAAACACTAGTAACCAGACTCAGTCTGTAGTCTAATGACGGACACTGTACTTACTGCCTGAACACAAGGGCAACAACTATTAATCATTTACATTATTTATCAATCGGCTGTTATTATTATTTTGATTTCGTTTTCAAAGTTTTGTTTTTTAAGTTCATTTGTGCAGTAGGCCTAAGCAGTAAACTGTTAGCTATGTGTTTTTGTATGAAAATGACTGACATGTTTATTACTGTTTATTGATTCAATAATCACCTACTGTTTCACAAAGAACTGGTATCCTGCAGTTTGTGTTAAATCGTAGTGGGATGATTACTGAAAACTGAGTA